ATCATTGATCACGACTTTTTGAATTCTGTTACTTAAATATGAAATAATAAGTCTAAGCGCCAAATTTTTTACACCGTAATGTAGTTTCCTGATTAATGTCAAATGATGAACACAATCAAAAGCCTTGGAAAGGTCACAGATAATACCTAAGGCATCTTGTTAATTCTCCCAGTCATTAAAAATATATTTCATAAGCTCAACACCGGCGTCAGACGTCGAGCGACCCCTTGTAAAACCAAATTGGATTTTATGAAGTAATTTATTTGTATTAAAAAAAAATTAACGTATGATCCACAATTATTTTTTCAAAAATTTTACCGAGAGTTGGTAGTACAGAAATAGACCTATAATTAGCGGGGTCCAATGTACTACCAGATTTAAATAAAGGTTTACTTTACTATACTTCATTAAATCAGGAAACACACCAGAATCGGTACAAGTATTAAAAATAATCAAGATGAGGTGCAATTAAATCTATTATGGACGCAATAACTGTAACGTAAATCTCCCACAAATCTGCGGTTTTCTTTACATCAATGGTTTTGAAGTATTTTACAATATTATGCGGTAATACTTTTTCAAATCTAAATCCTTTTAAGCAGATATTAGTATTCTGTTTAAGTAATGACTCGGCGACAGCTGGAGAAGTATTCAATGACTCTGTTGAAATAGGAACATCAGTGAAATATTTCTCAAACACCGCTGCAACTTCTTGATTTTATTTAGTCAATTCATTATTAATTTTTAATTGATAGCTTGAGTTACGAGGTTTCTCTACCGGTTTCGCTGTTAAGCCGTACATTCGCTGAACGTCGGATGTACTGGCCTTTTTTTAATACTTCTTTCACAGCATACTCAATTATATCATCCTCCGGACGAATTCTCTTCTTTGTAGGCATCTGATGAACAAACAAAACCAATTTAAGAGACTAGGTTTACAGTAGTTAATGAATCGGACAGGCAGACTGACGTATTGAATTGGATGTCCTTTTAGTTTAGTTTAGTTAACGACGGGCTGTTTTCCGCAACTCCACTTCTAAACGCGTATTTTGCGTTTGGGTAGGAATAATGTGATTATTATTCGAGCCATGAAATCTCCCCGAAGACGTTCAACAGTCCTTTGATGTTGCAAGTAACTTAGGGGAGTGATCTCGGCGTGCTAAGATGTTTACGTGACCTTCGGACATGTGAGCAACACGTGGGCCGCCGTACTATCTGTAACACTTATCGTCAATAAATGTTTGTTAAAGGAGCCATGTCCTGTGATAGCACTTGTTACTATCCTGATCTGTGGCTTGTTCAGTCTCATTAGAACCTTGGTTAAACGACTGTTTATTTCAGGCAAAGCCTCGCTAGCTTGTCTACAGTCTACTAGATTTTTCCAAAGCTGAGCGTGTTGATTAGTGAAGTGTCTACCTACCAGTGAACGAACGTTACCAAAGAGGATTGGTGATTGGTTCCGGCGCTATAGTGGCCAGAGCCGATCCTCTTCTGGCCAGTTTGCCTGCTGCATCGTTGCCTCTGGATCCACTGTGTCCCTTTATCCATTGCAGGGTCACATTGTTGTGTTTACATACCCCATTTAATCGTTGATGGCATTCATATATTAGTCCCGAGCTCACCACATTGCATCTCTGAACTTGTAGTACCGGCATACTGTCGGTCAGTATTCTGATGGAGAAGTCATTAACCTTCCTAGCATCTATTGCTTTGACCGCTTCAATGATACGCATACATTCCGGCTGAAAGACTGTGTTGTAGGTACCCAGCGGTGTGCATATGTGGATATTGAGGTCTTCAGAGAAAGTTGCAGATCCTACACCTTCATTTGTTTTAGAACCATCGGTGAAAACTCTAAGCTCTTTTGGGCTTAATCGTTCTGGCTGGCTGGTTTTATTTAATTATATCTTGTACTTCTTATCAAATACAAATTGTTTAGGGATCTTACGAGGGTGCGTTTTTAAGTTCGCGGAATGGGGGGTATGGAGTGGAAATAAAAATCCAAATTTATTTTTTCTTTTCACTATATACACCTGCTACCCTAATACATTTTTCGGATCTTTCAATTAACTTATGTATACCCTCAAAAAAATGTTGTCTATCTAAAAAATAAGCAGAAACTGCATCTTTCACTTCTTCATCACTTAAAAACTTTTTCCCACTAAGCTCTTTTTTTAAGTTTGGTAATAGATAATAATCACTGGGGACCAGGTCAGGACTATAGGGTGGATGTGGCAAAATTTCGAAACCCACCTTCTACAGGGCAGCTATCGCAACATGGCACTTGCGAACAGGCGCGTTGTCGTGCAGAAGAAGGATTCCTTTGATCAATGTTCCCCTTCTTTTCTCCTTTATGGTTTCCTTGTTTGTTCTAGGATTGATGCGTAGCAATTTCCGGTTATGAAGAGACCTTTATCTTTATGATTAATCAATAGGATTCCTTCTGAGTCCCAAAAGACTGTCACCATGATTTTCCCAGCCGATTGTGCCACCTTAAACCTCTTGGGTGGTGGTGTGCCTTTTTTGTGCCACTGCATAGTCCTGTTTGGACTCAGGTTCATAGTGGTGAAGCCAAGTTTCGTCACCAGTAACAATTCGAGCCAACACTCTATCTTTGTCTTCCATACAGAGGTCCAAGAATGCACGAGAAGACACCACGCGCTGTTGCTTTTGAGGCGGCGTGAGCATTCTAGGCACCCATCTTGCGCTGACTTTAGTCATGCCAAGATGGTCATGAAGAATTTTGAAAATGGTTGTATCTGATACTCCAACCATTTCTGCGAGCTGTTTTTTTCTTTAGGCGGGCATCTTCTAATTTTTTTTTTTATTATAGTATAAGGGTGACAAACGAGCACACAGGGGATATCTCCATTATATCCATTATAGTAGTCTTCTTTTCATCTATATATTCGCGAGAAGTTGAAGACCTTAAATAGTGACATTTAATCCTTGGTATCGAATTTATGTGTTTCTTTATGTCTTGTGTGACTGCTGGTTCTATCCTTTTCCTACGCTAATTTTTTTTTATTTCGCTACTCAACCATGCTCATCGGTTTTCTTTTCCGCAGTTCTTATCTGCCTGTCACATTTATCTAGTAGTTATAAAATAAGTATTGCATACCCAAATTTTGATAACATTGTCTGTAAAATAAAATGCCAGTGTTTGGCTTTCTTGGTGCATTTCTGTAATTATACTGTAGTTTGACGTCTACCATGCAATTACTAATATAACTTCTCAGTAATTCGATGTTTCCTACTGCTGGATACTTTTGAAACAGAATATTTCTATCGATCATCGTTTATGTTATCGACACATTTGCGTCTACATTTGCTGGTACATGGATCTTTTATTGAACGGGCAGGCACTATTTTTTCGAATTTGTGTTAGGAACATATTCTTTCACAATGTTTCATAAGATTTTGGGAAAATTTTGTTTCCACTTGTTGGGGTTTCTTTGACGTTTGTAGGATTTCTTTGGACGTATTATTAACTTTTTTGGGTTCATTGTATATAGTGTCTCCCGATGAAGATACTCTCACTTTCAACACATAACTAATCGCGTTTCTTCCGAATCCAGCGGCGGGGGTAGAAGGAGGGAGTGTGAAAGAGACCGTAGTATCGTATTTTTCTTTAGTCTACCATAAAAATGCTGCTGTTCTAATATTCACCTAAAAGAGCGAAACTTTTAGTGGCCCTCTATGACCGTTACTACATTTCTTTGATTTTTGAATTAAGTCGATACCATTCTGAAGATGCGTTATATTTAAACATTTGATATGTTAAAACATACTGTCTAGTTAAATGTTATACATTTAATTTGTAATGTCTAAGTATTATGATATGACGATAACATCCTTTATATCTATTTAATTCACGACAATTCCTTTCTAGAATATACACATATAATTTTTTGTGTAACCTTAACTCATAAAACTATTAAGTCAAAAATTAGGAAGACTTCAATATAGTGCTTTTCGTTTGCTTAAAGGCATTACAGTAACAATCATTTATAATATAACACAATATAATAATTGCCGTGAAGAGCAGCGTAAGAGAATCCACTACCCCATATCACCCCATAGGTGTCGTAAGAGACAACAGAGGGAAAACTAAAAAGGAGATGGTTCTTGATAACAGCTCAAGAACCATCTGCCAGTTGCAGTTGCCCAAGCGCCTGCAAAGCATGGCAACAATGCCGAATATCCCAATTATAAGGCCTTTCTTTTGCATAGATTTATTATGTACTTTATATGGTTATAATATACGAATAAAATGTTATAATAAAGGTTAATAGCAGTTATGTCAATATGCAGACAAACGTTTTTATACGTGGTAGAGCCATGCTGCAGCATATTAATAGTATAGTTGTAGCACGAATGGGTCGGCTCGACTGGGGTAGGACCACGCTCTCACAGAATACCAGCGTAAAATAGCAGCTTAAAGCTGCTGTGTTTCGTACGGTGAGTGTAGAGAACCGGAGACCCTTTTTACTGGAAAAGAGGCATTATATCTTAGCCCTCACGGCTGACAACGCATCTGCATTTTAATTCGCAAACGAAGATAGATGTAGATGTCTATGGGCCACAGCCTACTTATCATCAGGTGGACTGTGTGATCGTTTGTCACCCATATTCTATAAAAAAAGTATATTTTGTTCATGGTAACCTGGTGTAAGCTGAAGAATATCGTTATATGATATCTCAAAAATGATCTGTAAGATATGAGGAAGTTATTGTTAAAGGATAAGAGATATAAAATTTTTATCCAAATTCAAAAATTGATAATTTAAGTACTGTCTTAAGCTAAAATTAAAATTTAAAACATTTTGTTTACAATTGAAATGCAAAACCTGCCAAAAAGCTATAGCAGTATAAATTGTAAATTAAGTATATTAAAACACATGTTTTAATTATTCAAATATTTTTAATATAACATCTGTATCTTTGCATTCTGTTGCTAATTATTATTGTTTATAAATCTTAAATTCACAGATAGGGACTTAAATTGCTAAATACACATTTTCTACTTTTTTCCTCACAAGTTTGGCTGATTTTGGATAGAAATCAAGTAAATATTTCCATTCGTCTAATTTCAAATACACGATGTCCACCACAGTACGTGCTCGGAACGAAAAGTAGTGCTGTACCCCCACAAACAACCCCTGAAATAAAAAAAAAACGATTATATTTACATTTTTTACGTGTTAGAGCCATGCTGCAGCTATATTAATTTTATAGTAGTAGCACGAATGGGTCGTCCAGACCGGGGAAAGACCACGCTCTCACAATACCTGCGTAAAATAGCGGCTTGATGCTGCTGTGTTTCGTATGGTGAGTGTAGAGAACCGGAGACCCTTTTTACTGGAAAAGAGGCATTCCATTTTAGTCCTCACGGCTAACAACGCATCTGCATTTTGATTCGCATACGAGGATAGATGTAGATGTCTAAGTGCCACAGCAACCACTTACCATCAGGTGGACTGTGTACTCGCTTGTCACCCTTATCCTATAAAAAAATTCACATCAATTGACTATAGGTGGCAATTTAATAGGCTGTAATACAATGGAATGGATGGTTGTTGTTACTCTATATATCAGGTGGAAGATTTTACTGACAGTTCCCTTAATCATCTTTATACGGCTCACACGAAATGAAATAAGGTGATAAATCTTACGCTACCATATGTCAATGTTTGAGTACATTTATTATAGAAGAAGGGTGAAAAACGTAGCATACAATCTACCTGATGGTAATTGGATGCTGTGGCCCATAGACATCTCTCCTCTATCAAGAATCAAAATGCAGATAATTTTCGGTTGTCTACATTCATCTTATGAAACACAATGGCATTAAGCTGCTATTTCATTCCGTTGTTCTGTGGGAGCGTGGCACTTCCCCAGTCAAGCCGATCAACTATGAAGCTGCAGCGTGACTCAACGTATACGTAATAAACCTAAGCAAAAATATTAAGTACTTCCTCAATAAGTTACATACTTGCGCTATTCCAAAACAATCTTCGGGTCCTAGAACATCATAAACAGATTCCGTCAAATTCTGGTGTACTGTCAACACTTCGACCTGAAATAATATTAATTCATGCATTTATTCTATTTAGTATAGTTAGAAATGAGGGTAAAATAATAAAAGAAAATAAGAAGAATTGAGGGTCGAAGTGTAATCTCCCATTTGTTATAGCAGTATAAAGTATCGCGCAGGAATCAGTCGGTAATTCTACGAGTCTCGTGTCGATATTATGCCCGTTGGGCTAAAACATTACTTCTACACTGAGATTCTTCCTAAATAAGACAAGTGATGTGGTTCTGTTCATAAAGTACTTTTTCTAGTGTAAGCAAGGAAGGTGGTGTTGTTGAGAGGCTGCCCTGTGTTATATTGAGATGACTAGTGTTGCTGTTACTTTGCATACTTTGGTGTAATCATGTAATGATGTCCTTCACGTTACACCAATGTGTGATTGTGACTGGTCGAACTGTATTTGCTCTATACTGAATGTGTAGTGCTGTACGCTGTCTTATTCCTGACTAGCTGTTTTAATTTTTTGCGCGGAACCCTAATTATTTTTCTAAAATAGAAGTAGCCTAAGTTACTTCTAATAACATCCGCTATCTGCCAGTGAAAATCCGGTCAAAATCGGTCTAGCCGTTTCGGAGATTAGCCGGAAGAAACAGACAGACAGACAAAAATACAGACAGACAAAAATTTTAAAGATCGTGTTCTTGTTATAAGTACCGTATATACTTTCATATGCATATAGTAAAAAGCTGTTATTTCGACTTTACAAACAGACACTTCAATTTTATTTATTTGTATAGATAATGATTAATTGCGTATGCTAGAGTACAAGTTGAACATCCGCTCTCACACTTTTATTATTTTTAATAATTAACCCTCAGAGTGAATTCTAATACCTACGTGTAATCTTCTTTTATTTAAACAATTTGAGAATAATTTCTAACATCAGGAGTGGAATAGTTTCTAAAAGTATATATTATAATATTCTAACGTTTCTGTTTATAGCATATGCTATATATCATACAAGTAATTACTTTTTTATAAGAAATGTGCTGATTTAGCATATACACAGCAGTGAAGGAGAACATCGTGAGAAACATTTAAAGACATGGACCTGGATAGACCTCTTCTAATCGCGTTCTAGTTTCGTAATTATGAAATAGCGGCAATGGTGAATAATTTCTACTACCTCCCCTCTATGAATGAAGTAAATGCATTGATCGGAGTCTCCGCGCTGAACGATGTAGTTCCCTGGGAAGAACACGCAGTGTCTCATCCACATAACCAACATGCGTTTAAAGTCGTCTTCTGTTTTGCCAAATATAATGGATTCTCCTATATGACACCCATAAACTTCCTGCATCACTTGACAACGGAGTCGAAACGGCAGTGTGTACACCAATTTCGGCATCTGAAACAACAGCACTGGGCTTACATAAACAATCTAGAGCTGACCATATGTACATCCTATGCATAGCTGGAAGAATTCGCTAATGTTGTAAAATGGTAAACTGCCTTTCACCTGACTTTGAACTTTTCACCTGAGCCGTGGCAGATTTCTCTGGTATATTGAAACTAAAATATGATAGTTGACACCGCAATTTTTTTTTATAGGAGAGGATACAAACAAGCATGCGGCTCACCTGATGGTAAGTGACTACCGCCGCCCACTAACAACTGCAACACCAGGGGAATTACAGATGCGTTGCCGGCTTTTTAAAAAGGAATAGGCACTTGTCTTGAAGGTCCCTAAGTGGTAGCGGTCCGGAAAAACCGCTGATGGTAATCGATGTCACAAGGAAGTTGTGCGAGGAAGAAAACATCTTCTAAATCGCACAGTGGTGGACCGCCAATCACCCAGATGGTGTGGATGGTATCGAGAGTTCTGCCGCGATGTGCGTTCGTTAAATTTGGCGGCTATCTATTAGACTATCTCGTCGTGAGTATCATCTAAAGAAAGGATGATTACTTATGTCTTTTTTTTACATAGTATAAGGGTAACAAACGAGCACACAGTCCATCTGATGGTAAGTGATTGCTGTAGCCCATATAGACATCTACAGCTATCCTCGATTACGAATTAAAATGCAGATGCGTTGTTACCCGTGAGGACTAAGATGGAATGCCTCGTTTCCACTAAAAAGGGTCTCCGGTTCTCTACACTCACCATACGAAACACAGCAGCATTAAGCTGGTATTCTGAGAGAGCGTGGTCCTTCCCCGGCCGAGCCGACCCATTCGTGCTACAACTATACCAGTAATATAGCTGCAGCATGGCTCTACCACGTTCTGCATCCGATGGGTACCACAGATGATGGAATAAATAGTTCCATTCCCTGTAGCACCATATCAGTGACAGACTCAGCAACAGCTCTGGGATCATCCGGCGAGAAGCAAACCCGCCCCCATGGGTAGGATGCAAAGAAAGACCGCATTCCGTCCCAATCCGCCGACCTGTAATGCCAAACACGGCGGCAACCTGCAGAACACAACTGCGAGGAGAGCGTGAGTGGCATCACACTCCGGATCAGACAATGGTCCGAAGAGCCGAGAGGGGCATCGACAGAAACTTGATATCCGTCTGGATGAGAGTTCAGCAGAAGGTCCAACAGGGAAGGTGTATGATCCTCCACATCTGGAATCCGCTTAGGCGAAGTAACCAGTTGTGTCAGACCATATGCCAAGGCAAAGTCATAAACAGATCTGCCCGCATGATCGGTTAAACGTGAACGGAGCCGTTCGGCGTGGTGGGCGTTAAAATCGCCAAGGATCACGCTCTCTGCAGATAGGACCTGTTGTAGCAAGGAATCTGGTGCCATTTGGACGTGGTCTATGAGTCTGTCTGTTTCGGCATTACCGCTATGAGACCTATAGAGGCCCCCGTAGACGCGCGGATGGTCGTCGCTGTCTACGCGTAGCCAAAGCATGGACAGGTCCGAACCTTCAAGACTGCCGAGGCGTCGAGAACAGATGTCCTCTCTAACGTATACGCAAACTCCAGCCCGAGGCACAAAGGGGTGCTCCAATTTGTATCCCGGGTAGGAGAGATACGAAGTATCAGCCGGTGAGGACACCTGCGTCTCGGTCAGAAAGAGCAAGGCCGGCTTCGCCGTCTCGAGATGGTAGTGGACGGCGTTTAGGTTCGAGTGAAATCCCCTGATGTTGCAAAAATTCACGGATAGCGTGGCAGGGGTCGCCTTGTATTGTTGCTTAGTTTGCCCCGATCAGTTATTCCGAGATTCTCCATGGGTGCTGGTACCCTCATGGGGTAGTCTTTGATGTAATTCCGCTACCATGTTGATGGGGGGGGGGGGTATTGGGCCTCCGCCTACCTGCACTCACCAGACGAAACGCAGAAGCACAGCTTCTGCGTCTGCGTCACAGCCGGCCCATACGTGCAACAGCAAACACTGTCGCGTGGCTCTACCATCGTTAAAAATATTAATTAATAACGTCATATAATTTGTATTTAATACTTTTAGTAGTGTCTTAAAACTTTGTTGGTTTTCCATTTTAACCTAATCATTTGTCTGTAAAAACTATGACGTCATAACACTACGTTGTCATTAACTACAGTAATTTTTTATTTCCATGTAAATCTCTTACATAGAAATGTTTATTATGACAACTTCTAAATCATTTATGATTATTTTAGCGCCAAAGTGCTGGACGATAAATTAAAAGAACGTGATAAATCCTGTGACTTAGAAAAGTAATATGCTGTTACGACAGTCTATTATATAATGTTATATGTTTACGAGAGACTCTAAATGAAAAAAGCAAGATTTGCAACTATGAATCACGAATAAAGTGAAGGGAAATATTTTAACTTTTTTTTTTAAATGCCTACTTCACCTACAAGCGGTGTACTTACCCTTCTCATCGGCGGACGAGGCTTTGGCAACCGAGAAATGGCAAAAAATACATTCAAAATCAATAAACCCATACTTCACAGACTAATGACGTGAAGCAGCATTACAGGTGGGAGGGTGTCAACACTGTGCTCATTAACCTGTCTGCCTTGGCCAACCTTGTAAGTGCATGTCATTAGGTCCATTCTTGAAAAACCCTACTACTATGTTAATTATATTTGCGACAAGAAAATTAGAATCAATGCCAACAAGCAAGACATAGTCTTGATTCATAGGCATGGCCTGATTTACCCACAAGCTAACTAGGCTGGAGCCTAGGGCGCATGGTTCGAGAGGGCGCTGAGCTTGCGTTGGCAAACACCACTTGTGTACAGAGTAAAATTTGGTATAGTATTCTCAATAAATAATAGTGTAAGTGCCACAAGTATTTTAGTTGTTGTGCTTTCTTTATTTTTGGTACAAAACAAATAAATATAGTGTAAAAATAGGATTTGAATTATTTGGTACCTTTCGTCTTTCGTTGGCTGACTGGACGTCTACCTCTAATTTTGTTTAGGTGTTTTGCCAAGGCTATTTAAGGGAACTTCTGTCAGCCATCTCTTCCATCTGTGCACATGGAGAACTACTCACTGGTCCATGCCGCAAAGAACTTCTATATGTCAATGTTGCTGGCACTAGTTGTAATACTGGTGATGCTTTTTACGTCGGCCGTGCTAATATTTCTCGAGAACACGTCATCGAGTATCGGAACAAACTTGTGCCTGAAGTCGAGTCTAATAAGAAAAATCTCAGATTGGGGATGACTACATAATACACGTAGTAAAGTTTAAACTTTAGAAGATACAGGTTTGCGTCTTTACCACTAAAAATAACCCCTTTGTCGTATTACCTCAATTTCAGGGCACTCCCCATGCTGCCTCAGCCAGCATCGGAATCCTCGATATCAAATATCGAATGACGTACAGTTCTAGACTAAATTGGCCTCTAAAAAGCTTTGCGTGCTCAGCAGACCGACCGCATGCCGGCATACCGTTCATAACTTTACAAGGCGCAAGTACGTCCTCACATGGAGTACTGTTCGCCTCTCTGGACCGGGGCACCCAAGTGTCAGCTCCTTCCAGCTGTCCGCATCCAGAGAAGAGTGGCTCGAATCTGCGATGACTAAGTTCTTTCTGATCGGCTTGATTCACTGGCGCTGCAAATAGATGTTGCATCTCATTGCATTTTCTATCGCATTTTCCACGGGGAGTACTTAGACAAATTGTTCGGATTAATTCCAGCCGCGGAATTCCACCAGTGCATATCGGGACAAAACTCACGGTACCATCCACACCATCTAGATACTTGGCGGTCCACCACGACTGTACGATTTACTAGGAGTCTTCCTCCTCGTAAGACTTCTATGTGGAATCATCTACCACCAGCGATTTATCCGACACGACTTAGAGACCTTCAAGAAACGAGCTTACTCCTTTTAAAAACGCAGGCAACATACCTGCAATTTCCCTGCTGGTGCTGCAGTAGTTCATGGGCGAGTGTCAACACTTTAATGAATTTATTTTAATTTAATGAGGACGAAACCGCGGGGTGGTAAGCTTGTAAAATATAAAAATTTTGTAAATATATTCGTGGGCTGGGCAGGCACAGACAGAACAATGGCCTGTTCTGTGTGGGGGGGGGGGGCACCTTCATAGTTAACCTAGGGCTGTTGGAACTCTAAACAGGCACTGTTCATAGGCATAAATTCTTATCTCCTAAGGACCGATAGTTAATCACGATGTTTTCGAGGTTTTGCATTAAATTAAATGTTTGGATTGACCAGGTACTTTTATGAAATACGGTAGAAAACATTACTTTGGAAAGAGAATAAAACTAAGGATCTATGCCAAGAAACCTAACGAGCTAACGGTGTCTTAGTGCCTACCACTTGTCATGTGGCATGAAATTACATGGATGACTTATTATAATCGTTTACTCACCTTTCCTAAAAAATATTTTAGACGAGAAGTCTATTAGAAGGCATGTGTCTACTGCACAACAGTGGGACGTTCATAGGTTGTTATAGTAAACGGCAAGGATAATAACCGTAAGAGTTTTACGTATACAAAAATGTGATTGCTTAAAAAGTAATCTGCGTTAACTAATCCGACAAATAAACCAGCGCTCAAAATTCGTCCTTTGCTTTGTCGCCAAAAATATAATTGCTACCTTATTATGTGTATACACTATACAGTATACATATTTTTATTTACTTGTCGCCCTTGTTGTCTGTTCCAAAGTTCGCACACGTAGTCCCACATCTTGTTCATCTGATGCTCGCTGAGATCAGTGTCTCTAAGGCCATCCCTCAATTCGTTTATACCATAATCGTATGCTATACGTGACGACGAGTGCGCTGTTATCATAGCTGACATTTCCGATATTAGGAGACCTAAATAAAATTGTTCGTAAGTAAAACTTTTGTAGAAGAGCTTTAGGATAAAAATGGCAGGTCTTAAAAATTTTTAGGCCGGGTTCACATGTGATCATCTTAACTTACCTTGATCAGGTGTATCGTATCGAATACTGGCATCTTAAGTATGGACGCCTATTTTGACGATATCGTATCACTAGCCGTATCGTACCAAAACGCGTCTCAGATCCTTGTATCATTTCCATGACCAAACATTTTAAGGCTGAAGTGGTGTATAGTATTCCTTCAGGGTAAAAACCTACTATAGATGGAACAAGTCGTATCACATATCGTATCGCATCCTCGCATCGTGATACATTATTAAAATACGGCCATGTTATCGCTAATGATACATGAATCATATGATCAAATGTGGACCGGGCCTTATACTGTTAAACGGAAAATACTTTTATATGCAATTTATAATTCATTTTCTGCAAAATAGTCCTTTTACATAATTATAATTTAGTACTAAGCCATAATTTGATTATTTTTGTTCGTATTTAAGGTTTAAGAGTGGAACTTCATTTGGCTTCTGGATATACTCATTGAAACATGATTTCATTGCAGACTTATTTGGGTATCGTAAGAGGTTTTGGTATTGGCAATGGCAGCGGTGGCGTAGCGTGGGTTGGCACCCGGGGCGGTATTCTATCAAGCACCCCCCAAATAAAACAGAAAACGCTTACCGGACTATATTTCAATAAATTATTGTATTCATCATCATTATCATTACAGCCCTTCACAAGTCCACTGCTGAACAAAGGCCTCCTTCTAGAAATTCCACAAAGCACGGTCCTGAGCCACTTACATCCATCAAGATCCTGCATGTCTTACCAGGTCGCCACTCTATCTAGAGGGAAGCCGCTCCACACTTCGAAAACCGGTATGAGGCTGCCACTCAAGAACCTTGTTTCCCAATCGGTTGTCGGTTCATCGTGTTATATGGCCGGCCCATTGCCACTTCAACGTTCTACTGCAAATAGCCTCATTTCTAAGTTGATCAGGCAGAGAAACCCTAAGCATAGTCCTCTCCATAGCTTGCTGAGCGACCTTGTACTTCCTCATACGACCAGGAGTGAAAGACCATGTCTCAAATCCATAAGTCATTGGTGACACGCACTGGTTGTACAATCTCGTTTTCAAGTTTTGAGGTATACCCGACGAAAAGATGTGGCGAAATCTCCCGAACGCTGCCCAGCAGAGTTGAATCCGTTATACATGATCTTTGTTTTGTCCATGTTCATCTTAAGACATATCCGTTGGGAGCCACTATTGAGGCCAATGAGCATAGTGCTTAGGTCCTCCAGCGATTCTGCCATAAGGACTATATCGTCGGCAAATCGGAGGTAAGCAATGTACTCGCCATTTTTATAAACATCGTATCCTTAACAGTCCAAGAGCTTGAAAAGCTTTTCCACTGCAGCGGTGAAGAGTTTCGGGAATATAACGTCACCCTGTCGTATACCTCTCTGCAATTCAGAACCAGAGTACGAAATCGATCCAGGTTTCGTACTCTGGTTCTATACTCGGATAGCCATCGTAGCCTTACTTTATAAATACTTCAGCGCTTTGACTTACTGACAGTAAACTTGGCACCGCTAAAGGGACTGCAGTACCGCCCACATTTCGACGGAAGCAAAGGCTTTCTCATAGTCCATATACGCAAGATAAAGTGGTATATTGTACAATTTGCCGAGGGGTATGTGGTCCATGGAGCTAAGCCTTTTCAGAAACTGGCTTGTTCGGTAGGCTGGAAATCATCAAGTCTGCGTGCAAGCCGATTCGTAAATAGCACGTAGACGCGGCTCGGAAAGCAAATCTGTCTGTAATTCTTCAAGAGAACAACCTTTCTCGAAGAGCAAGACCACCGCACTTCAGCTCCATGCCTCAGTAATGCCATCATGGAGGATGGAATTAAGAAGCTTCTGAAGGAATTCAAGTACCGGTTTTCTACCCGCTTTCAGAAGTTCCGCTGTAATTCCATCCTCGCATAGGGACTTGCCGTTTTTAACGTGCTGGAGAGCCATTCTAATTTCACTCAGACTGACGTCCGGGATATCATCAGAATAGTGTCGGATAAAACTTGCTTTTGGATCGTTACTCACACTTAGTAGTACCTCTCGATCTCATTTAAAATCTCAAGTGTCCCGGAAATGACGCTGTCACACTCGGTCTTCAGATTCGACCGTTGGCTTTTTCTGGCAGACTGATCTCTAGCAAAGACTTTGGAGCCCTGGTTCCTCTCGATCGCTTCTTCAATACGAGCAGTATTAAAGTTGCGTAAGTCCCGCCGCATGCATTTGGAGATCTGTCTGTTCAGTTGCCTGTATGCTGTCAAACCAAATGAAGACTAAAGCTTCATTTCCCGTCTAACAGCCATGAGATTAAGAGTATGATCGGAGAGTTTTTGTGTTCTTCTGCGACGGGTCTTGCAAAACTTAGCTCCGACCGCATGGATAGTTTTCTCGAGCTTGTCATTCAAATCGTCCACTGTATTGCAGTCTTCTAGGCACTGAAAACGAGTTTGTAACTCAACCTGAAAGTTTTCGGGGATTTGGATTAGAGCACGAGATCCCTCTCTCGGAGGGTTGACTTCACTAGTGATGACTTCTCCAGCTTACTGTTTAGGTTCAATGTGCCTCTCACTATTCGGTGATCGCTGCCAGTTTTCACCCTCGCAATCACTGAGTCATCACTGAAAAGTTGTCTTCTAGCAGTCGTAGTGAAGTCAATCTCATTTTGTGTCGAACCATCGGGGCTTGGCCAGGAGCACTTTCTGTGAGGCCACCTCTGAAAGAAAGAGTTAAAAAATCCCTCTTTCTCCATGAAGTCAGCCAACTGCTGGCCACTTGGGTTTCGTTGCCCTATCTGCCCTATGAATTTCCCTATCTTCAGCTCATCGTTTTCTTTTGTGCCTAGTTTTGTGTTGAAATCTCCCCATGAACACCGTATAGTGGGTTTTGAAGGAACGCAGTGCTTTAGAGATATTTTCATACATTTCCTCCACCTCCTCATCGGGATGTGATTAGGCTGGTGCGTATACCTGTATGACCTTCAGCGAATACCGTTTGGTGATTCTGAGTACGCAACCCTATTCGGCACACCTCATCTTTACAACGTTGTTAACGAGAGACTTGTGGAGGATTAATCTGACACCTCCTTGGGACAGATGGTCGCCCTACCGGTGATAGAACAAGTTGCCGGATTCGAGGATTACCGTGTCCTCTCCCTCTCTTCGGACCTCAGATGAACTTATAATATCCTAGCGCAAGAATGCCTAATGGTAGAAATATCTCAGACGTCATATCCCTGGGTACCAAAAGGGACAGCATCAAAGGTGTGAGACGTATTCATGATGATGCGATCGCCTATTCGCCTTGCCACTACCAGCTTGACGATTAAGGCTAAACCTCTCTACGTCTAAAACGCTCTGTTGTAGTGATGAAATAATCGCGAAGTACGGCAACTGTCAGCGTTGTTAAGTAGGTATGCAATTTGTCCGCCATTGTAAGATAAATGTTCGTACGTAAATCACCTACAATAACCTGTGTTTATAAGTAGGTAATAAAGTTTTTCATAGTTCTAACAATGTTTAGTTTCGATTCATTGACCCAATACGCTCATGTCTGTGTTTTAGTATAATTTTTCGATGAAGAAGACACAACTTCATAACCGCTCCAAGATATGCGCTATTATAATTAATTGTATAATGTTAGTTATAAGTTTTTTATTAAAAAAAATATAACACTGAATTTCTTGCTGTTTAATTAATGTTTGTTTGTTCTTATTTTCAATCAAATTGCGGTAAAACTATGTCAACTTATTGCTTGCACTTGCGCGAAGATTATAGCCATAGTTTTTCATTTTGTCATTTATTTACAGTAGGTGACGTGCGTATCATTCAACTTCAATGAATATATAGTCATTTCTAATTAAGCAATATGACTTCTTTCAAATTTAAAACGATATTCCCACAATTATTTCTTTTCCGGCAGCAACACGCCGGCTATCAGCTAGTATTTAATAAAAATATTCTATTCTCGGTCGCCCCAGCACGGCTAGAATGGGCTGGGGACAAAAATGTTGTCCACTGACAAGAGATAAAATTATCTTGTCCCTATGCCAAAGCACGGCAACGGGGAGAAGTATATCCCCGTTTGACATAACGAGTAGACATATATACCCCGTCCGTAGCATGGAGCCAAATTAAAGATAAAATAATTATGCTTTTTTGACATTTGAAAGGGACAATTCTATCCTAGTTCATTGAATGTGGATTTAATTTTATATTCATACAAGAAATCTATCTAAGTCTAAGTCTATCTCTCATTTTATCTACTGTGGATATTATATCCACCGGTGTGCCCATGCTCTAAGGGTGGATAAAATTAACCAAGGGGATAAACATTTTCTCCTTTCCCCGGGGATAAAATTGTCTCCTGCCCATGCTAGCCCTGCATTACTTTTTCTAAGTATTCAATATCGGTTTTGGATTAAATATACCTATTTTTCTAACCTTACAGCGCAGAAATATGTCAAATCATTAAACATATTGTTGCGCGCCACTATTAATGTCTTGTACATGGCAACACTAGTTACACTAGCGCCCCCTAGTGTCGAGTAAATGAAAGTATTGCGTGCCACTATTAATGTCTTGTACATGGCAACACTAGGTAAACTAGCGCCCTCTAGTGTCGAGTATCAGAACTAGGAGAGTCAAGATCCTTCCAGAAATTTCGGGACCGAAATGTACTCGAACATTCTAGATGTCGCTACAGTAGAAGGTTCTGGAAACTATCTGAGGCCCTATATAAGGCCGGTATAGACCACGACCGGGGCAGTATTGAATTGGCGATACAAGAGAATACTTCGAAGCGAAATAACGGCGAACTGTGTTTATTATTAGTGTGATTTTAGATTGTAATTAGTGTTGTGTAATTAAAGTGTCAATTTTGGTAATTCAATCGGCAGTTTTTTATTATCTCAAACCCCAAGCTCGTAACAATATTAACTCATGAATATAACTCTGCCCATAGGAATGTTATACAGTACCTACAAAGCACCCTGTACCACATGCAGGTACTGACTTCATAAAATATAAAGGGTGATTCAAGTATAGATACTTTTTTCAATAGCCTTTTTTTGACAGATCACGTGTGAGTCGTGTCATGCTGTCATGTTATTTTTGTTTAGTATTGTTTGACATTTCATAATGGAAAGACTTACGCCTGAACAACGTTTACAAATCGTTCAACTTTATTACGAAAATTCACGTTCTGTGAGGAATGTGTTTCGTGCACTTCGCTCAACATATGGTCAACATAATCGGCCAACTGAGCGTACTATTCGCAACACCATCACCAATTTTGAGACCCAGCATTCATTATTGGATAATATTCGACCGAATAGACCACGTCCAGCACGCTGTGAAGAAAATATAGCGGCCGTAGCTGAGAGTGTACATGAAGACCGTCGAGAGTCGATTCGGCGCCGTTCGCAGCAACTCGGACTGACGTATGGTACGACTTGGCGCATTTTACATCGATATCTTAAATTGAAAACGTACAAAATACAACTTGTGCAACAACTGAAGCCGCTCGACCTTCCCAAGCGACATCGCTTCGCTCTATGGGCTCTTGAAAAGTTCCAAGAAGATCCGACGTTTTCGGGGCAAATTTTGTTTAGTGATGAGGCCCATTTCTGGCTCAATGGGTATGTAAACAAACAAAATTGCCGCATTTGGGACAAAGAGCAACCTGAAGAGATTCAAGAACTGCCACTTCATCCAGAAAAAACAACGGTTTGGTGTGGTTTGTGGGCCGGTGGAATCATCGGTCCATATTTCTTTAAAAATGATGCCGGTGCGAACGTAACCGTCAATGGCGACCGTTATCGTGCCATGATAACCGACTATTTGATTCCTGAAATTGAAGCTCGTAATCTCGGCGCCATTTGGTTTCAGCAAGACGGCGCCACTTCCCACACATCGCATCAATCAATGGATTTATTGAGAGAACATTTCGGTGAGCACCTAATTTCACGTTTTGGGCCGGTCGATTGGCCACCAAGATCGTGTGATATCACACCGTTAGACTTTTTCCTGTGGGGATATGTAAAGTCTAAAGTTTATGCGGACAAACCCGCTTCGATTCAGGCCTTGGAGGAAAACATCACCCGTGTCATTCGCCAGTTACCAGTCGAAATGCTCGAACGAGTCATCGAAAATTGGACTCAACGGATGGACCATCTGCGACGTAGCAAGGGCCAACATTTGATAGACATAATCTTCAAAAAATAAATGCCAAAGAATGTTCTTTCAAATGATAATAAACATTCTACATTAAATTTGAATTTTCTGTGTTTTTTTCTTTAAAAAAGTAGGGAACCTCGAAATGGATCACGCCATATCTATTTATATATATATTACGATAACCTTATTATACAGAAATATGTAAAATAACTATCAAAACGGTCCATAAATATAGTCTCCCCATGAGAATGTTATATAGCACGAAGTATACTGTATATATATATATATATATATATATATATATATATATATATATATATATATATATATATATATATATATGTACATACCTACTTACTAGCCGCATTTCACCTTTTTGTGTAAAGGTATGAAAAAAGTGAAGGTTAGTCCACATCCACGTTTTCTGGTTGCTGTTGCTTTCTAGATCCTACCATTGTAGAATGTTACCTTATGGTAGTTGAATTAACGAAAGTGATGAGCTTAGCTTACCTTTTTATACGCTTCTCATTAAATAAGCAAAATTGTAGATAACGCTAGGTAAGTATAACTGCCTATTTTGCTAGTTATAATAACCATTGATCTTTGTTTTAATTACTTAAGAAATGTTAAGTTCGCAAATTTACCTGTACAGAATTTGATAATGATGATTATAATTATCGTTTCTATCACTTCAAAATCATTTTGTGATGACACATCTCCTGTTCCGGTTATGGTCAGCAGATTGATCATATACCATAAAGACGCTACATACAAAGAAAAATATTTTCCCTGAAAGAATAGAAAAGGTGTAAGTGTCTAAAGTTTTATTAATTAGTTTAAGTAATTATAAATAAAGATGCGATTGCCTTCCCGCTTGCAAAACCTGGCAACTACTTATAGCAAAGTAAAACGGGGTGAATAAGGATCGCTAGGTGAATAGGGACAAAATCGGGAATGAGATTGGGAAGCAATTTTAACAGAATAAAAAACTTATGAATTTGTAGAAATTATTTTGTCATGTAATAGAATAGATGATTTTTTTCGTGGCAACACCTATCCATAGGGAAGTTTGCAACAAATGGTCATAATTTTCATATGAAAACGAACGGTTGCACTTGTGTTTTTATATGCTCTCAAAACTTGGGTCATAATTTGAAAAGTTATTGTGTTAACGTAGCAAAAGTGTTTTTAAATTGATAATCATTTATCCTTAGAGACCCACATAAGAAGGTAAGTCTTAATATAATGTATTTTTTGCTAAATGTTGAAATATCTAAAATATTGTTATTTTGGTTTTGTTACGAGGTTAAAAGAAACAGCAGAAGGGCGAACAGGAACGCTCTGAGTCTTAATAGGAACTTCAGTACAAGTGAATAGGGATTTTTATGAGTTTACTTGAAACAGTAAAGTTTGAATAGGGACAGGGTTGTCGCTTTATAAATGTATACAATATTTGTACTAGCGATTCGGGTCGGTTTTGCTTGGATTTAAATTACTACAGAAAAAAGGCCTCATACAAACTTTTATTCCGTATTTTACACATTTGCGGGACTCAAAATGTTTCAAGCTTCAGTAGTTCCAGCTCTGCGTTGATAAGTCAATCAGTCAGTAGTTCGCCATTTATAATATTAGTATAGATAGATTTAAATTGTTTAAAAATTAGTTACTTACAGTAGGTCAAATAATACCTATAGGTTCCATTTCACCTACTATAAGCAACTAATTTTCATTATACTTTGTTTCAGATAACTATGCCTCGCACATACAAACCACGGGCTAGACAATATAAAAAATACGATGAAGATACGATAAATATTGCACTTAGAGAATACAAAACATCAAATAGTTCGTTAGCAGATAATAGTGCAAAATATAATATTTCTAAATCTGTTTTACACAGACACAACACAAGATTCATGAAGAAGCAAGGTGGTCAGACGGTATTAACTGACGAGGAAGAGACTTATATTATAGAAAATATAAATTATTGTTCTGAGTGGGGATATCCATTAGATACCTACGATTTGCGGATTTTGGTTAAAGGATACTTAGATAGGATAGGTGTGAATGTAAAAAAGTTTAAAGATAATCTACCAGGGCCTGACTATGTAAAGAGTTTCCTAAAAAGAAACCAAGACGAAATTTCACTACGAATAAGTCAGAACATTAAACGATCACGCCCGGCAGTTTCACGCGAAGTTGTAGAAGAATATTTTACTCATCTTGAGAATTGTATAGCAGGAGTACCTTTATCGAACATTATAAATTATGACGAGACGAACCTCTCGGACGACCCTGGTAGGAGAAAAGTTCTTACAAAAAGAGGTGCAAAATACCCAGAGAGGGTCATGAACCACAGCAAAGCCTCAACATCATTAATGATGGCAGCATCTGCGGATGGTGTACTTCTCCCTTGTTATGTGGTGTACAAAGCAAAACATTTGTACGAATCTTAGATCAAGCAGGGGCCAAAGGGGTGTCGATACAATTGTATCTCGTCTGGATGGTTTGACAGTAACACTTTTGAGGATTGGGTTCCTGCCATCGCATTATCATATCTTAGTGGCAAGGACGGAATGAAGATTCTTACTGGCGATAATCTTTCATCACATTTGTCTTTGGCTTTGATACGGGAATGCAAAGAAAAAAACGTGCATTTCATTTTTCTCCCTCCAAATTCAACACACTTGATGCAGCCTCTAGATGTTGCATTCTTTAGACCCACCAAAAGAGCTTGGAGAGATATTTTATTTTTGTGGAAAAAAACTGAGTGCCGAACTTTGCCGACCATTTCCAAAAGTGTTTTTCCCACTCTACTGAAAAAATTAATCAGTCGCATAGAAGATCAAGCTATGTCTAATATATTGGCAGGGTTTATGAAAACTGGCATAAGTCCATTAAATAAAAAAAAAGTTCTCGAAACATTGTTCGTGATGAGGAAAACTTCCGTAAAGATGCTATTGATGACACAGTTATTTCCATGTTAAAAGAAATGCGATATGGCAATAATAATAACAAATTGTCTAATAGAAGAAAAAAAATTGAAGTAAAGCCTGGTCAAAGTGTTTCCACCGAGACTGAACCAAAAGAGTCTGACAAAGAAAGTGATCAAGAACCAAATAGATATATTAGTGAATTTGATTTAGAGGAAAGCGAAGAGCCATCACAAAGCATTATAGCCGACTTTAATGTCACTAGTTCCAACAAAAAAAAAATGAAGTCCTTATGCAATCTAAAATTGCAAAACAGATCCCAGAAGAAAGGAAAAGTAATTTTGAAGCAAAATATGCAATGAAGAAAAATAGTTTGAGCACTGTGACATCAAAGGCAGCACCGGAAGAAGATCTAGAGCCATTAATTAACAAAATGGAAGTAAAAAAGCGAAAAACAGTCCCTCAAAATTCTAAACAATCGATAAGTAAACTACAAGGGAAAACTATTGAATTAATCAAAAATATAAACAAATATGAAAATACGAAAGACATGTTTAAGAAACCATATGAAATTAAGAAATGCAAAGAAATGAACAAAAAAGAAAAAAACTCAAATAAAAAATTCAGAAAAAGAGCTTGCTAACGATTTTCAACTTAGTCAGTTGGCAAAAACAAACACATTGAGAACATGCCTTTATTTTTCGAAGATGATTTCTGCTTTCAAAACGAAATAGAAATAGCTGATATATACTTACCGATAGATTCGGATATTGAGCAAGTAAATCAAGAAAAAATAAAGATAAATATTAATGAGAAAATAGAGACACGAAATACGAATACGAAAGACAAGATAATTATAAAATCGGCTGTAAATTTTGAAACCAAAGAAAATATTAAGATTGATTTAAAAAATATGAAGAAAATGGCTTTGACTGATAAAATTAATCGGAACTCTAAAGCAAGAAATAGAAACCATTACTTGAAAGATGAAGAAATATTACAAGATCTCATGGATTATAATATTAATTAGATTAAATTATACTAACTTGTATAAAATATATAATAGAAATATATTTATAAATAGTATATCATAAATAATCAAAAAATAAAAAATTAAGTAATATTACGAACAATTATTACTTACTTTTTTATTTTGTATCTAAATAAATACTTTGCAAATTTTATAAACAGTTGATTGTTAAGTTGATAAATTATTTTGTTTGTTAGAGGATTTGTTTGTTTCTGAAGAAATTTAATTGTTTAAGTTTTTACTTTTTACTTATTGACAATAAGTGTTGGTTAATTTTAAATAAATATATTCCTTTCTCTACTCTATACATTTTTATTTACCTATCCTCTTCTAAATATATATACTACTGACATAAAATTTATTATTTAGGTCTAAGTTGCATAAACCTTCACCCAATGTCATTTTAAATATTTGACAACCCTGTGCTTTTTTCCCTATTAACCCCATTGTCGTTCCAGTACACCTCGGTTCAAGTATGAATAGGAATGACATATATTTCGTATAATATCTTAGTGTATAACAACATTTTTAGTTTTATTTGGCATTTTCGGAAAATATACGCAGGCGGAGAAAATAAGAAGCAGTCATACATGTCATATCTGTACAATAATATTGAAAATTTTTAGTGTGAAGTTCGATTTCGTGCCTCTTCACCCCGTTTTACGTACCTAATATCAATCATGGGCAATCCATGTGGGGGGCCCATAAATTTATTATAAACTGATGTTAGGGGAGACCTATGTTCAGCAGTGGACTTTTGATATGCAGTAATGGAATGGAATAGCTTTATTTAATACAGTAGTTCATTTAGGAAAATTAGATTTTCAATGCTGTGCCCAGGTGAAAATATAGTAAATATAAGTCAATGGTACAATTAAAAAATCATAATATCATTACATCTGATTTCGACAAGAACGATACTCTTCATTTTCTTTGATGGGTCACGCTGCAGTTGTATTATGAGATTATGACTGCATCAAGAATTGGTCGGCCCGACCTTTAGGGATGGGCCAGTGAAAAAATATATCGATATTATATCGTATCGATATTTTCAAAAGTATCGTAATATATCGATATATCGTCATGCTTTGCATGATGTACTAAGACAAGGTCCGAAATTGTATGATAAAAGCACGTGAATGCTTATGTAGCTGCTTTTGTTACTTAATGTTTTGTCGATTAATAAAACATTTTAAAATATATCGAAATTGATACGAATTCGATACTTTGAAATAAATATCGGTTAATAATATAGATTTAACGACATTTTTTCCCAAGTCTAGCGTGTTTTGTGGGGTGAATGTTGAGAAACTAGTTGAGTATCTAGACATTTAACCTTAGTCCTCACTGGTGACAACGTATCGCATTAATCGAGAATGCAGATATTTATGTATCACAGGTCACAGCATCATATACATAGGTGAGATGATCGCTACCATGCTGTTTTTAATGTTTTCATAACAATTGTATAAATATTATATTGGTAGTTATGCTTTTAAAAGAAAAGTCCCGCTGGGTTTCTTGCTGGTTCTTTCCAGGAAAGTTTTTTCCGAACCAGCGGTAAAAGTAAAAAATTACTTTCAATAAGAATTACATGTAATTAACATTGAATAAAATGTATTCTACTCTATTATTTTCTATCAGATGGACTCTGTGTTCGTTTGTATCCTTCACATGTATAAAAAAAATTCTTACTATAAAATGATGGAATGTGATATTGATGTCATCAAGCCCGATTTTGGCTTCTTCGATAAGTTTCGAATACTCTCGGAAGTTATAAACTACGCAGGATATGGAAGAGCCAAAAATAGTAGATAGAGACATTC